TATCTCCGTGACCGCCTCCTGCAACATACCTCCCAGCGCCCAATAAGATTGCACAGGGCGGGCCTTCTCCGAGTACCGTCGGCTATGCAGTGTCGTCTGGCGGCTCCTTGGGGGAGAGCCTTCTCTGTAGCTGCCCCAGCCCTTTGGAACGATCTACCCCCTGACATCCGGACCCTCCCCACTCTCCCGGCCTTCCGTAAGTCTGTTAAGACCTGACTGTTCCGGCAGGTCTGGGGCTATTGATCTTGATTGACCTTCAGCCCCATTAAGATTGAATGCATGTTGTGTCCTTCTTTTAATTTGTTCCTGTCTCGTATTTTTAAACTTTTTAAAATGCTTTTAAACTGTTTTTATGTAAGCCGCCTGGAGTCCTTTGGGATTGGGCGGCATACAAATCTATTAAAATTGGAAATTGGAAATAATCAAACTCCAGACTGTGAGCAGAGTTTGCCTGCAATACTGCATTTTAATCATTGCGCCATGAGGACTACCCTAATCCTAATCAGAACTTGTTTCTGAGTTAAACCTTGCTAATCAGAACTTGTTTCCAAGTTTAATAATTTCTAATCTGGGCTGCTATTAGAAAGCAATAATTTTAACTACCTTACTCCCTCTACTACAAAACAGCCTTGCTTTACAGTTATGGCCTCTGGACATAGTGAACTAGCCTCTTGCTGTGCAACTCAATGCTGAATGGATTGCGAGTATGTTGCTTCAGCATAAGAATCAGGTAGCCTGCATCTACTCTGATTATTTCGCTCAATCACCTAGAAGATATAGGAAATGGGATTTAACTGTGGAATCTTGAAAGATGGAGTTGCAAAATGGTCTATTTCTATTATTGCCTCTATTAACCCTGCTCTGGACAGTTAAATCTATTTTCTATTAAACTGAGATCTGCCTTTTTAAGACTGCCAGAAAAGCAACAAGATAAATTGTAAAATGCTGTATAGGCATTTATAGCTGCATGCTTCAACATTATTTTAAAGAGAAATGTTAGTTGGAATGAACTAGCTTTACTTGACCAGTTTAAAGATGTATGTGCAAGATGACCCATTTCAGCAAGGCACTCCAGATACCTTGTAGGGGGTACATAATTATTCAATGCTGTGTATCCCTAGATGAACAACTAGAATAACTAAGGCAAACAGCTGATGAAAAGCCACTCTGTGTTTCTTCTTTCTTTCACATCAGCTTCTTCAGTGGATTGTTATTGTTCAGTCACTAAGTCATGTCTGACTTCCCAATTCTACGAACCACAGCATGCCAGGACCCTTGTTCTGGTGATTAGTGATTAGGGACATCAAAGTGAGAGTGCAGGAGTTTTACAAAACGTACTTTTTCCCTGCCTGTATCCTCTGAACAGGGTTTGGAGTAAGGAGGAGGCCTGATATTGAATGAGGATTAGACATCCATTATCTGCCTTATTCCTATTTTTAACTGATATGGACTAATCTAGAATCAACCTAGAACTAAGTTAAACTTAGATCCTAGAACTAAGCTAAAAACAACCGAGAACTAAAGAGAAATTAACCGACAGGACAATTAATCAGTGGAACAACTTGCCTCCAGAAGTTGTGGGTGCTCCCAACAATGGAGTTGCAAAAGTTGTAGGCAGGTGTGAAAAAAATGCTGTAAACAAAGAATGCTTTCAGAAATATAAATAACGATTGTTTATTTTTGTCAATTTTCAAAATGCAAAGTGAGTGAACAAAAGAAAAATCTAAATCAAATCAATATTTAGGGTGGTCACACCAAATATTGATTTGATTTA